TCAGGGTCTACACCTTGAGCCACTTCACCAGACCTTTTTTGTAATGGTTTTCGAGATAGGATCTCTTGGACTATTTGCTCAGGCTGGCTTTGAACCATGGTCCTCCTGATATCTGCCTCCTGAGTAGCTAGGATTATAGGCATGAGCCACCAGTGCTCAGTGACTCCTTCTTTACATAGGGAATGACTATTGGGTTTCTTTCTTGGCCTTCCACAGGTCTCCTCCAGTCAGTGGTGCCATTCCCATCACCATGTCACTTTTGGGCCCATCTATGTCTGCTCAGTAATAGCTTCCTGCCTGGTCTCCTACATGGTTGGATCTTGCTTTTCCAATGTGGCTACATTATTGCCAGAGTTTGCCGCCCCACATGGAATGTAAATCCGCTCCCCAAATTTAAGAGCTCCTCTCCAATTTGTCTTTAATCCAAGCTCCTCTGTTTTGTGTTGAAGAATCCAACTTACCTGTTCATCTCCCCACCATCTCTAGTTTCCTCCCTCATGTACATTTGAAGCTCCATCCTGCTGCTTGTCCCCAGGTATACCATTTGTTTATCTAACAACTAGTGGGTATCACCTATGTGCTAGACACTAGGCTAAGCACTGGGCACAGAATAAATACAATACCAACTCTGCTCTCAAGGAGTTCAGTGGACTGTGGAGATAGTTCTGTAAATAAGTCAATACCATGTGATAGGCACTATGATAGAGATATAATAAAGGTGCTCTGGGAGCAGAGGAGGAGCAAGTGTCTACCAGGTTGGAGAGGGATGGTGAGTGGGAGGGGCAATAGACAGGGCTTCATCCAGGGGTCCTTAGTTTAATTTGTAGAGGAAGTGGGGCATAGTGAAAGCTGGCAGGTAGAAAGAGGCTGCATTATAGACAGTGATCAGTGGGGGATGAGGACACAGCGGAGGACAGATTTGAGGGCAAGAAGGGAAAGTTGGCCATTGTCCAGGCAAGGAGTGGGGGAATCCGGACAAAGGTAGTAGTAAGAGAATGTGGGGAAAAGACAGATGTGGACAGGCATGGCAGAAGAGAAACCACCACTCTTAGGAAGTCTGGAGAGTTGACCTTAGTTTTAAGTAAATGGAATCAGTATATTCTAAGAGCATCAAGGGTAGGAGAAAGCCTGGAACTGGGGAGGGAAGTAAGGGCTGAAGATACAGATTTCAGAAGTATCTTAGGGAAAAACATGTGCTTATCCTCTGACCTGCCAATTCTACTTATAGGAATTTCTCCTAAGGATATAATTAAGGATACATGTGAAGATTTAGCTACAAAAATGCTCATTGTTTATAGCAGTAAAAGACTGGAAACATTTTATAAACTGCTATGACAGTGAAAATGTCTAACTGTAATGTACTGGCTTAATAAATTATGCTACATCCATGCAATGGAATTCTATTCCAATAATAAAATAGGTATTAGCTGGGTGTGGTGATACACACCTGTAATCCCAGCACTTAGGAGACTGAGGCAGGATGATCATTAAGTTTGAGGCCAGCCTAGTATAGAGTGAGACCTTGTCTCAAAAATAAAATAAAGAACTTATTGCCATGAAGAAACATTAACAATATTTTGTTAAGTAGAAAAAGGTATATTCTACAACAATTTCTTAACCCAGTTATTACTTAAGAAAAAAAATTAAGACTTCAATGCTGCTTTTTCTTGATGGTAGGATAATGAACACTTTTTTTTTTAAAGCTGTTTTTACATCAGTAATGTAGACTTTTGTTTTAAGATGATTTTTTTTTTTAAATTGAGTAAAATTAAAAGGAATGACATAGGGAGATCTCAGGGAATGAGAAAAGGACCAAGGATGGCCCCTTTAGTCAATACTCTTGATAACTGGCTCTCTGGTCAGTGCATGCAGCTGGCTATGTCCTGAGTATCTCTTCCATTTCATATTTTGCTACATGGCTGCATGGTGGAAAACAAGGAACAGATTGCTGCAATCAGTGGGCCTTGGACAAATCTTTTCATTCTCTGAGTCTTAGTTATGTGATGTTAAATAAAATTTATAGAGGACCACTTATTTGGATTGAGCTCCTGCACTAGGCCTAGCAGACATAACCAAAATGGAGTTGCTCATGCTGAAGTTCCAGGCTAGGAGGATATTTATATGATCTTCCAAGAAACTGGGGTGGAGTGGGGAGAAAACACACAGGAGCAAACTTGCCAAACAGGCTGGTTATAGCTGGCAAGATAAGGAAGTCCCCTCTGATTTAACCTTTCCTTGAGGAAAGCAAGTATGAAATAACCTATTTACTCTTCAGTTTTCAGGGTTTCTGCTTCTTTAGAACTTTTCTGTCTAAAAAGTCGGCCCAGTCTGTTTTATAGAATGAGGTGTTTGTTGCCTGATTTTTTTTTTTTTTTTGATGGTATGGGGGGTTTGAACTCAGGGACTCATGCTTGCTAGTCAGAGACCCTACCACTTCAGTCATTTAGTCAACCCTTTTATATGTCGGGTATTTTTGAGATGGGTCTGCCTGGGCTGGCCTCCACCCTCAATCTTCCTGATCTCTGCTTCCTGAGTAGCTAGGGTTACAGGCATGAGCCATAGCACCTGGTTGTCTGATTCTTGACTCACAAATAAAAGCCAATTAATGTCTTTTGACACTGACAATAAAATACTTACAGTACACAGTATAGTAGTGTGTACTGTATACTACAGTATAGTAGTGAGTAGTAGCTCAGTAAGTATTAGCCCATTTTCCCTTTCTTCTTCCTTAAACTTCCCTGCTAGACCCAGATTCGACCTCCAGAGTCTTTTTGGCTCTCACAGTGGGAAGTAATGTTGCCTCTCTGACAGTGGACCTGCTTTTGGAGTTCCATTAAACAATGAACTTGGCTTACCTGGATGTACAGGCCAGCTCTGTTCACTCCCTATTAAGTTTCTGGTTCAGTTTGGCTCTCTCTCTCTCCTGATAGCACAGGGCTTTGCACATTGGGTGTGCTCAAGAGTTTTTGTTGACTAAGTTCACGTTGCTTTTTATGATTTAGCTAATTGAGGATTACTCAAGGGTCAGTTGACCCAGATCTGTTGGAATTTTTCTCCTCCCAATCTGTAGCTCTGGCAGCTCCCTCAGACCACTAGGCTCCTTGTCAGAAGCTCTGGGGAGAAGGCAAAAGGATGAAGAGGAGAGAGTGAAGGTTGTTTTCCCCCTCCCCTGGGTATGGTTCCCTCCCCCTCCCCTGCCTTCCCAGAAGACTACCAGAATGACAGCAGGATAGCTTAGGGGCCAAGAGAGTTGGACAGACACATCATTACACAGGCACAAGGCCTCTTTGCCTTAGTAAAAGTCTCTGTCCCAAGGCTGGCCCTGGAAGGAATATTTGGTGATTCTTCCTTCTTCCCTGCTGCACCACCTTGCTCTGTGGGCATTCTTCCTGCTAACAGCTTGCTGGGTTTAGGAGGCAACCTGGTGTTGAAGTGAGATCTTGTGGATGCAAGTTAGGAGACCTGTGTGACCTATGGCAAGTTGGTTAAGCTTTTGGAACCTCAGTTACCACACCTATAAACAGGGACTAGCCTACAGGCCTTGTCCTCTATTGCAGCCCAGCATTACTGAGAACCAAATTAAGATTTAAAAAGCTGGAACAGGCAAAGATCTTATAAACGCCAGATGTTCCCAGATCTGTCTGTAGGGTTACCTCTCGGTAAACGGTCCTGTCCGCCCCGCCCTGGCCCTGGCTGCCTCGGCCTCACCAATTGCATCTCCATCTTCTCCGTCTCTGCCTTCCAGCCTCTGAGAGATCCTCAGTCTCTGCATCTTCCCCGTCCATTTCCCGGCCTAGCTCTAGAGCCCCCTCGGGCCTCTCCAGGGACTCCGGCTCCGGCTCCCTGCGGCAGTCGCTGCCCCGGGCGCCCCCGCCCGGCACGCCCTCCTTTGGCACTGTCGCCCGGCCAGAGAATTGCCCAATAAGAGCGCTGGACTCCAGCCTGACAGCTCAGGAAGCGGCCAATCGAGCCGGGCTAAGGACTGGGGGCGCAGCGCCGGGGCTGAAGTTGGGTTGAATGGGGGGAGGGGGACTAAAGGGGGATACAAAAGAGGGGAGGTAGGACTGGGGCACAGGAACCCAAGCCGGGGGCGGGGGAGGACCTTACGACACCTGGTCCCGCGAAGGGTCCATGGGCTAATCTCAGCTCGAGGCGCCTGGTGGGGAGGGGCGCGGTGAGAATTTTAGGTGAGGAAGGGGAACTGTCCCCGCGGTTCCCGGGCCAGGCCTGAGGATGCCCGCGGAGCGCCGAGGCTGGGGCCGCGGCCCGGCCGAGGGCGGAGGCGGCAGCGCGCCACTGTGAGCCGAGGCCCGAGCAGCGCGGGGGGCGGGGAGGCGGCGGGAGGAGGGGATGCGGAGGGCGCTCCGGCGGCGGCGGCGGCGGCGGCGAGCGAGAAGGGAGGAGCGGCGCGAGCGGCCGGAGCGGCACAGGGCCCGAGGCGTGCATGGCGCGCCCGGAGCCGGGCTCCCGCGGGCCCTTCCGGAGCGCCCCCGGGGCGCCGCGGCTCTTCGGCTGGCCTCTCTCAGCCGGCTGCTTTTGAGTCCCAGCCCTTCATCTCTGGATGCTGTGGTCCGCGGGAGAAGCCTGCCTGCGTTGGGGCAAAACGGTGGCGGCGCTGCGCCGGATTCCGCCCTCCGCCTAGTCCTTCTGTGCCTGGCCGTAGTGGGCCCGCAGGCGGCGGCGAGGAGCCTGGGTTTGGGGAGCCAGCGCGACAGCCCGCGGGACCGGAGAGTGCTGGCCAGCCCCGCTCGGTTTGGGGGAAAAGGGGAGGCGAGAGGGGAAGGGCCGCACCGCAGGAGCCTGTCCTCGCCCCCGCCCCCTGCGCGGACGCACCGAGGGCTCGGCTCCGCTTTCGCTGGGGCCACGCTCCCAGTGTCGCCGCGGGAGGTGGGGGATGCGGGCAACGGCCCCCCCGGATTCCAGGACCCTCCCCCCCAGGGCTCCGGAGCTATTGCTCCGCCCGCCGCCCCCTCCCCCGTCCTCTCCACCCCCCATCCCACCTCCCCACCCCTCGTAAGAAAATAATGCTGGCTGGCGCCCGCACCTCCCAGTCGCTCCCAGTCTGCCGCGAGAAAAGGGCACCCGCTGCGTCTCCGCGCTGGGACCCCCGCCGAGCCGCCCGAGCCTCCACCTCGCCCGGAGAGCCGCTGGGCTCCGCTTAGGCAGCATCTGCGAGCGCCGCGCCCGAGCACTGCCAGCTCCGGGGAGGCGCCGCCCGCAAGGACACCTCTCTGTCCCGCCTGGTCCGCAACTCCGGCCATCGTCGAGCTCGACGCGAGCCCAGAGTCCGGACATCTCTCTGCGCGCAGCGCAGCAGCCGGAGCAGTCCCCTGGCCCCCGCTCGGAGCCAACTCCATCTCGGACCTGGGACTCTTGAGGCGGATTCTCAGCTACTTCTCACCTCGGGGCTCCGCCTGTCTCTCCGCTCGCCCTCCCGCTGCCCTCCACCGCTCAGGACGGGGGTGCCAAGATGCCCCGCTGCAGCTCAGGGCCCCGGGCCGCCCCCGACGTGTGACCCCAGCCTGGTCCCCCTGCTCGGCCGTCCGCCCTCCCCCTGGAGACCCCCGGTTCGACCCCCGGGGGAGGAGGAAGACGACGACGAGGCCGAGGGGGGGATGTCTGGCTCCAAAAGCGTGAGCCCCCCGGGCTACGCGGCGCAGACGGCAGCGGCGCCAGCGCCCCGGGGAGGCCCGGAGCACCGTTCGGCCTGGGGAGAGGCCGATTCCCGCGCCAATGGCTATCCCCACCCTCCTGGGGTCTCGGCCCGCGGCTCCACCAAGAAACCCGGGGGAGCGGTGACCCCGCAGCAACAGCAGCAGCAGCGCCTGGCCAGCCGCTGGCGCAGCGACGACGACGACGATCCTCCGCTGAGTGGCGACGATCCCCTGGCCGGGGGCTTCGGCTTCAGCTTCCGCTCCAAGTCCGCCTGGCAGGAGCGCGGCGGCGACGACTGTGGTCGCGGTAGCCGGCGGCAGCGGCGGGGCGCGGCTGGCGGGGGCAGCACCCGGGCGCCCCCTGCAGGCGGCGGCGGTGGTTCGGCGACAGCTGCGGCTGCGGCGGGCGGAACTCAGGTGCGCCCCCGCTCGGTAGAGCTGGGTCTCGATGAGCGGCGGGGCAAGGGCCGTGCGGCGGACGAGTTGGAGCCCGGAGCCGTCGAGGGCGGTGAGGGTTCCGGGGATGGTGGCAGCTCGGCAGGCTCAGCCTCGGGCCCTGGCGCAGCGCTGTCGCTGGGCGTCTGCTGCCTCGCGTTGCTGCAGATATTCCGCTCCAAGAAGTTCCCGTCGGACAAGCTAGAGCGGCTGTATCAGCGCTACTTCTTCCGCCTGAACCAGAGCAGCCTCACCATGCTCATGGCTGTGCTGGTGCTCGTGTGCCTGGTCATGCTGGCCTTCCACGCAGTACGGCCCCCTCTCCAGCTGCCCTACCTGGCGGTGCTGGTGGCCGCCGTGGGCGTGATCCTCATCATGGCCGTGCTCTGCAACCGTGCAGCCTTCCACCAAGACCACATGGGTCTGGCTTGCTATGCGCTCATCGCCGTGGTGCTGGCCGTCCAGGTGGTGGGCCTGCTGCTGCCGCAGCCGCGCAGCTCCTCCGAGGGCATCTGGTGGACCGTGTTCTTCATCTACACCATCTACACACTGCTGCCTGTCCGCATGCGGGCTGCGGTGCTCAGCGGAGTGCTGCTGTCTGCCCTCCACCTGGCCATCGCCCTGCACACCAACTCCCAGGACCAGTTCTTGCTCAAGCAGGTAGGGGCCCACCTGACCACAGAGACTGGATCGTGGGGTGGGCAGGCCTTGATCTGACTCCAGAGAAAGGGATTCCACCCTCACTTTTAAAGTGGTGAACAAGCCAGAGAGACATGGCTTCTTGACCCCTCTTGAAGTCCAGCGTCATTTTACAGAACAGTGCTCTTGTATTTCCTGTACTGTTCCTGGCCTGGTAGATGACATGCTCCAAACTAGCCATCATTGCTGGGATTCAGTGAGGAAGAAGGGTCGTAGAAAATTACATGGAGAAGTCCCCACCTCTCCCTGAGCTTCTGCCCCTATATGCAAAAGGCTTCTAACGCAAGTGGCTGGACCCTCGAGCGGCCACTCCCTCCTGAGTGGCACTATTGGTTCTGTTGGCCCAGACCTGGGTAGAGGATTTGGGAGAAGAGACACTGGGTATCCCTTGCCTTGTCTTAAGGAGGAGAGGATCATCCTGCCACCTGTCTGAGGCCAGTTGGAGAAATCCTTGAACTTGAAGAAGGACTGACAAGTTTGTTTTGTTTACCCAAACGCCCAAAGCCAAAAAGCGTGTGTTAGCTAAGATGGAAAAGAGTGTCTGAGATGCATGTGGTCGTAATCCCCTTCCTAGTGTTGGAGACCATGATCCCTTCCAGTGAGTGCTCCTGGTTATTGCTTGTGTTAGGGGGCTTTTTAATCCCTGCTGAGAATTGTTGGGCGAGCCTAGAACTGTGGGCTCAGAAAGACATAAAACTCTGCCTGGTTGACAGGGGACTCAGGTTTCTGGGAGAGGAGCGTGCTTGCCATCCTGACCTCAGGGTGAGAGGGCCCCTCTGACAGCCACACCTTCTCCCTTTAGCATCCTATAGTCTATACTGCTGAGCCTGCTTGTTTGCATGCTACTCCACTGGAGAGAGTCAAGTGAGGCCTTGCTGCAGGCAGGTGGTGTCTTGACCACAGACCCCACTACACTCCTCCACCTTTCTCTTGGTGTCTGCCCCTTCCCATAGAACCTTTTAACAGGAGTCCCTTGTCATTGCTTTCCTCCTCCCCACTTCTACCTTCTTCTCTAGTCTTTGATCCTGTTTAGTACTGTGCCCTGTGTCCCCTGGCTCCTTGGATATGTACTCTTCCATGGGGAATAGTACTGGTAAGGGTTTCAGAGCATTGGGCTCTAGCTGAACCTGCCAGCTGCTCTGTGACTAGGAGGAAGTGGACATGTAACCTCTCTGGACTGCAAGTTCCTTTCCTAGAGAATGTGAAGGTTGACTATGGCCCTTCTGCTCCCAACATCCCTCTTGCCAAGTCTTACTTCCTGCAAGGAGCCTTCTCCTTTTTCAGTCACTCTAGGCTCTCCCTTTTCTGCATGGTCGGCAGTAGAGTCAAAGCCACAGACTGGAGCTCTTACTTGTTCTCCAGTGTCCATTGGTTCTCCCTGACCAGTGTAACCTCCTTGGACATAGGAATCCTGAGGTACATGTGTTTTCCCTCCCCCTTGCCTACTTAGTAGCAATTTAATAACTGCTTGCCAGTTTGGTTGGGGTCCAAAGTGGAGATGTTGATATTAACTAAGTTTTTTTCTGATCTGGGATCAGAAAAACAAACCCTTTGGAGATAAGGCTTGAACTTGAGAGAGAAATCTTTTGAGAGATGCTAACCTGAAAAAGTTACTACTATTGTGACTTTTTAAAGGCTCCAACCCAATCTGATGACCCAGGCTCTCAGATGGGTTTTGTGTCTCTGGGGAGTGTTCCTGCCTTGGGTGGCTGTAGTTTTCTACAGAGGGAAGAGCGTGGTCATCCACATGGAGCAGTAGAGATTTCCAGAATAGTGCACCAGAGTTGGGACCTGAGGTCTGATTACAGCCAGAGGGAATCCTGCATGTATGATTTCAGGAGATTGGTGTCAGATCCCAAGAAAGAGGTGCTAAAGCCTCATATTAACATGAAAATGCCATTGCAACCTTATCTATCTGACTGACTTTCTCCCTTGGTTCCTCAGGCAAATCCCTTTCCTTTCCCTCTGTAAACCGCCCCGCCCCCCCCCCCCCAAGCTCCTACCCCAGATTTCATTGTGGTCTTTAGACTTTGGGTACAGGATTTTGGGTGGATTTACACTTAACTTTTCATGATCTGCTCTGAGCACAGCAGAGCTTGTTAGGAATTGTTCAAGACAAGGGAATGCAAACATCCTTTCTATTTGGCTTCAGAGAAAACTGTATCTTTTTTTGTTTGTACTTGATTTACCTTTCTGATTATGCATGAATAAAATTTGTCTTTGTTGAACAAACTGTGCTGGGTGGTGGGGGAACATTAGTGGGACAGTCTAGCATTAATCTCTGCCTTAGGTTACCCAAGGGCAGAAGTGATAGAGGGTGGCTTGGTTAGATGCTTAGTTCTCTTTCTTTGATGAAGACACATGTCCAGGAAAAAGGGATGGCAGTAAACTATTTCTAGTGTTGGAGTTTTGGAAATTCCCCTTCATAGGGCCTTGGGCACACAATAGGTCCTCTGCAAACCATATGGGCATTTCTTCACTTCCCCTGCAAAGTCATCCCCTTCCCTCCCATGGCCTGAGTCCTCTACATTATCCCACCTGTGTGTTTTATGCTTCAACCCTCTGATGTTTGGGCTCGTCCTTGGCTCTGGTAGGAGAAACAGCATTTAGTTTCTTTTCTCCCAAGGAACAAACAAGAGTTAAGGTGCAGTGAGGTGGTGATTCTTCCTACACCCTCCCCACCCCACCCCTTCACTCACCCTGCCTGTGCCTTTCCTGTCTTACTTCCCTTCTCTGCCTGCCTCTGCTGTTCTCTGCCCACCTGCCCTTCCTGCTTGTTCTGCTTTCCCCTCTTTTTCTCTCCATTCATGGCCTCTCAGCCTCTTCTGTGCCCTTGTCTTGCTATTGTCTGCTCATCTCACTGGGGTACAGTAGGAGTGTCACAGGCTTATTTTTTTCCTCCTCTTTTGCCTGTTAGAAGTCCCTCTGCTACACCCATACCATAAATAACACTCCAGCATCTGCCAAACACATTCCTCACTTGTGTTAATAGGCTGCAATGATGCCGGAGCCTGTTGCCGTGACAACCTCATTTTTGTTTGACTGTATCCCACTCTGCTACATAAAGCCTCTGTGAGCACTCACACACAAACAAGCACTCTCCCCAACTATTACCCATGCTTGGCTCTCAAAGATTATTTTGGAGACCCTGTTTTTGGGTTCTGCAGGGGTGAGGTGGTCATCATTTGAGCTTAAGGAGATGGTCACCTTCTACGCTTAGTGATACCCTAGAAGGTGATAATGGATGGAAGAGCTCTTTGAAAAGTAGAGAGTCCTGTTCAGATGTGGGGTATTGTTACTACTCAGCCAAATTAAACCTGCCTGATGTGGTTGCTAAGAAGATTCTGATGGGTCCCTGGGAGCTTACAGTGCTGGATGGCCCATTCCCACCCCATCCTATCTCCCTTCAGCTCCTTACTTCCCCTTCCCCACTGGGAGAAGCTCAGTGGTTTCCTGCCTTTCTTCCTTTGTGCCTGTTTGAACCCACAGCTGTCACCAGTTGTTCCAGCGATCAGAATGGCACAGGCACTGTGTGGGTGATGTTCTGTGGCTGTGAGCACATGTGAGTGTCTGTAAAGGAGGCAAGAGATGGCTGGGGTGGGGATGTGGACCAGAAATTGAGCTCTGTGGCTGTCCAGGGACAGGAGTGTGCATGTGAGCATGCGCGTGCATGTCTGTCTCTCTGGCAGGCTGTCTGGCCCTAGTGATGGGGTGGCTGGGGAAGCCTTTGTATTAACTTTGAAAGGAGATCAACAAACAGCCCTGCCCCATTTGTTCTTGGCTGGTAGCTGGCTTCCTATGACCCTGTACCTTTATAGTTCTGATTCTTCTTCCTACCTTAGCCTGGGTATATTCCCTCCCATTTTCATAGTGAGACTAGGGGCTTGCCTTGTGGTCAGCTCCCCTGAACTATGGAGTTCACCCTTTCTTTTCAAGAACCTTCCCTACCGCCCACCTGCTCAGCAGTCCAGTGAGCCCTGCTGAAGAGCTGCCTCCTTGTTCTGGAATTTGGCCTACAGGCCACTATGGCTGCCCCATGTTTACTGCTGGACGGTGCAGAGGAGGATACATTTCCCCCAAAGGCCGGTCATTGCCTGCCACCAATTGCTTCCTCGTCACCTGCATTTCCCACAGGAGGAATATGGGCACAGGTGAACCCCAGTGGCAGCAACAGGCTGGGTACGGATTTGGCTTTGAATTTGAATACAGGAAGGTCTGCTTTCCTTGCCTTTAGGGTAATGGTATTTGCCAGTATATTTGCTAATTGTCTTTGATTACATTGCCTCCTTTTCCAAGCTGCTAGGACTGTGTGTGTGTGCGTGTGTGTGTGTGCGTGTGTGTGCGTGTTCGTGTGTGTGTGCGTGTGCGCGTGTGTGCGCGTGCGCGTGTGTGCGTGTGTGTGCGTGTGCGTGTGTGTGTGCGTGTGTGTGCGTGCGTGTGTGTGTGCGTGCGCGTGTGTGTGTGCGTGTGTGTGTGTCTGTGGGGGGAGGGTGGACAGAGAGGAGCAGAAGTGGCTCGCAGCAAGGATTTGAGAAGGGCTGCTGGATAGGGGACTGTTTGCTAGGTCCCTGGGGAGCCATGACTCCTGTGAGGAGGACCTTAGGAATGGTGGAAACTCAGTCAAGGAGCAGAATGCACAGCTGTGTTATTACAGGAATGTGCACTGTTAATAACTCAGTCTAAGTTTTGATCTGCAAGTGAGAGCATGAGGTCTGTGTGCTGTGGAACACAGAACAGCATGCTCATGTTTTCTGTAGAGAGGACACAGATGATGTGTTAAACCTCATCACAGAAACCTGCCCCGCTCACAGAAGAGTTTTAAAAATCAGTGCAAAAGTCTCAGATGCAAGCTCTTCTGTATAGACAGACCCTGGCCATGAATCCCTGTCAGAGGATGTAGTTGGCAGCTGAATAGGACTGTAGCCTGGGCTTGGACTAGGCAGTGTCTTCCCTTAAGAGGT